TTACATTAAATGTTTAAAATTTAAATTTTACTATGTAGGTATAAAAACGGCGTGGATTTAAAAAATGTCGAATTTCTTGATTAATTTTTCCTTAAACAAAATCAATCAATTATCCACATTTCCCAAATTGAAATTTTTGAATACCTACAAATATTACCTAATAATATATCCAGTCATGGTCATGGTAGATTGGATGGAGAGCTAATATTATTTTAAGTATCATGGTTCTGCATTATAAGGACAATTTATCTTGTTCAATTTACCTTATTGCCCAATGTTATCTGTTATCTGTTTGTCTGTTTGTTTAAAATATCAAATACCTACTACTGTTTTCCTCAAAATATTTTAATGCCTCTAAGGGAATTAAGTATAATATTCTATAGCCTTCTATAAGTAATAAGAGGTCATGAGCAGATATTAAATAATTAATGTTATTAACAATAATTGTGTCTCTGTATTTTAAACCAATGGTTAATTACTTCAAAAGAAGGATAATAATTTTAAGAAACGGCATATAATTGTGGGCCTTGAGAAAGCAATACGTAACTTCAAGGAGGATTATGGGGTGTCTATAATAAATTAATATTAGATAATGCCTTAATAAACGTTTGATTTCATAAATATTCAACTTTAAATTTTACATATCTACTATTTCTCTCTTGTATTTCTAATCACTAAAGATAATTACCCAGTACATTCATGTAATACCTAGTATATTACTGATATACCTAGCAATACCTAGGGTCGATTCGCCAGCAGTCGGCCTTTTTTTGGGATCTTTAACTTTGAATATAAATAACAAAACACTACAAGAAGATCGCTCATTCGTTCTTTTATTAACGTTTTGTGCATGAACTTATTTTTACGTGAAAATAAAAACTTTTTCAAAAAAAAAAAAAAATATTTTTACTTTTCTAAAAATAGCACTTTTTTCAGTAGTCGGCCACTAATATGTCAGTTGTCGACCATGCAGGTACCAGTAGTCGGCCGTACTTAAAAGAGTAAATTTTACCAGAGCCAGCATTTAAATTTATTATTTTCATTCGTTATGAAAGAGGTAAGTAATAAAAAAAAAAAAATATGAAGTCAATAAAAATATATTCCAAGTAGCAAAAACAACAAACATAAAAATCACTATTGAAAAAATAACAAAACATTAATTTGCCTCTATTAATACTCTGCTAAATAAAAGGAACTTTGGTTTTAACAAACTTTATAACTAAAACTCCGTTTAACCAAAATAAACACTAACTTAAAACAGGTATGTAAATCAAGTACATAAATTGCAATAAAAGTCTAAATTCATGGCATCTTCATAGGCTTGCCCTGCCAATTTTGTGCATTTAAGATGAAACCACCTGGGGCACGTGTCACAGCCGATGTTTTTGTCACAATCCTCTTCAGCATCACTGTCAAGCTCATCTTGGCATGAGCCACACTTTTGTTTTATTCGTGCTACTAATGCCGTTTTCAGTTCTTCAGATATTTTATTTTGTTTAGCTTTCCGTTTTTTCTTGCCTCCCATTAAATTTTCGCTTTTTTTTCTTTTAGCTAACTCTCGTTTCCTTTCTTTGATTTTTTCTTGTTCCTCCTTTTCCATTTCTTTGCTAATGTAGTATGTTCTCCATGCCTTTGCAGAAATTGCGCTAGTGGTTGGTCCTGATTTCGTTCTTTTTGATTTAAGTATGGGTTTCGGATATGTTAAGTGCTTTTCAAATGCAGATAATATCTTGATTTTGGGTTTATTTTCCAGTATTAAACTCCAATTGGCGTTTACAGTTGCAGCAACAACTTCTTCGTTGGCCATTGTTCCTTTATCATCATCAGATAAAATAGCAACTTCCGAAGTTGCTTCAACGTTTTCAAAAGCAGAAACACATTCTTTATTAGCACTTTTTCCTTTATTTCCCTTACGCAAAATATCGACTCGTAAAATCTTGAGCTTGGGTTCGTTAGTCGGAATAAATGACGATTCGGCCTTTTCAGCGACGACAGGTACAAGCTCTTCATTGGAAGTTGTTTCTTCGAGTAGTTTAGAATCCGAACTATCATTGTTAGTTGGTATAAAAGGTGATTCGGCCCTTTCAGCAGTAGATACCAACTCCTTATTGGAAGTTATTTCTTTGGGTAATTTATTCAAAAAAATATCATCGTCAGGTACAAACTTTCCATGAGGAGTTGGTTCTTCAAGTAATTTTATTTCGTTTAAAATATCATAATCGTCAGTCGGTGGTGCAAATGATTCAGCCCTTTCAGTAGCAGGTCCCAACTCTCCATGGGGAGTTGTGAGAGGGTTGCGAGATCCACTCTCTTCGAGTTCTTCATCGGGTAATATATTGGGTTCGTTTGTTGGGACCAAAGAAAGAAATCCATCGTTGTTTACTTCATATTCTTCTATGGCAAGGTTTTCATCTTCAACTACAATTTCTTCAGGTTGATCTTGTAGGCTTTCCTCGAACTTTTTCAATTCCGACAATATTTTGTCTACATCTACCGTTCGATGGGTAAGGTTGGATTTTAAGCCCATTAAGACTTTATGAGCACTCTTAAAGTCGCTCGGCGTTAACACCTCTTGCTCATTGGTCCCGTTTCCGTCGTCGTTGTTATTAATGTTTTCCAGCGTATTTTGGATACACTTGCTGTAATCCACAGCCTCCATATCGCACGGGTATAAACCACATCGTCTGAAGCCATTTTTTATGTGTTCGGATATTTTTGGGTTTTCCAATGCCCGTTTGAATACCGAAGCGAAATAGACTTTTGTTAAAGTTTTGTCTTCATTCTCACTTTGCCAGCTTCTGACAGCTTGCCGCCAGTACTCCTTCAGAGGTTTGAAGACTGCAACGTCAGCAGGTTGCATCATATGGGTGGAATTTGGTGGTAGCGCATACAATATGATGCCATTTTCATCGCAAAACCGACTTAATTCTACTGACATGTGGGAACGATGTCCATCTACAAAAAATAATATCGGTTTTTTAATATTATGTTCCATAATCCATTGATGCAACCCGTTCGCAACATATTCATAAAAAACATCGGCCCTCATCCAACCAGTGTCGGATTTTCCCAAAATCCAGTCTTCTGGCATGTTATCCGCAATTGCCCGAGGAGGTTTAACGTATGGATATACTACACATGGCGGACATATTTTCCCATCCGCGGAAAATGTAACTAGGACCGTCACATTCTCCTTCTCGCTACCCTTTTTGACTTCGTAAAGTTTTTTATATCCCTTAGGAGCAAGTACTTTTCCTGTTTTAGGGCACAGGCTAAACCCACTTTCGTCCGCATTGAATACTCGTGTCGGATCGTTCAATACGTCAGTGGCGTCTATACTTTCTAAATATATTTCCAGTTCTCGGAACCACGATTGAATATATTCTTTGGTCAGTTTGCCTCTTGATTTATCCACAGATTCTGCTGACCTGGCAGAAACTTCGGGGTGCCTTTTTAAAAAGGATGCATACCATTTTTGTCCGGGTCGGTTGTCTTTAAATGGCGTTTTTATGTTTCCATCCACAACAATTTTTTGTACCGTGTTGATTAACTCATTTTTTTTAATGGGAAACCCACATTTTGCGATATTAATAACCCATTGGACTATTTTTTCTTCGTTCTCTACGCTTAAAAAAGGATCTGGACCCATTCGTCGTGATTTGTCTACTCGAACGCGTCCCTTAAGCCGGTCCTGGATGATAGCTCTTGGAACCCCATAGTTCCGGCTAGCTTCGCGAATTTTCACCCCTTGCCTTATCGCATCCACGGCTTTCTGTAAATTTTCTTGAGGATATTCATGAAACTTTCTTTTTTTAGAGTTTTTAGCTCTCTGAAATAGATAATATATAGATAATTTCAAATTTTCAGTCAAAAAACCAAGCTAAAAGGCCTTTAAAATCTTGTGGCCGACTACTGGCAAACTCTACATTTTAAGTTTGTTCTAGTAGTCGGTCAATAGAATCATCTCTATCCAGCTACTTTATTATTCGTTATTTGTAGGGCCGTCCACTGGTACGGCGAATCAACCCGGTTAAACTCACACGACGAAGACAAAACAATTAATATATCTTAAAAAAAGAATGAGATAGAAATAAAAATAAAATGTACATATTGTTCCAGTAGTCGGCCGCCTGGCTGACCACTAGCAAGGCTATTAAAAGTTCGCGCCAGTGACCGGCCCCCCTTATTTTACGGTTAACTTTTAAAAATATGCCTTTCAGACCAAATAATAAGATATTTAAACCTATATCCTACCACCAACACATTTAAACACATCCTATAACGTAGACAGATTAAAAATAACTTACCTTTGTATTGTCCATTGCTTAAGTTTGGGCAAATTTCAAAAACAAGATTCAACAGTTAACACAAACAAGCTTACTTTTAGCGGGAATTATCAGACCTGAAGTTTGATGCAGTTAAATTGACATTTGGCATTCGGGTTGCATAGATATGAAAGATGTTGGCTAGACTTAAAAATAGCTGAAAATTTGCGGCCGATTTAAGTTATTTGGTAATAAAAGGATTTCTGGTCGACTATTGGTGGTGGCCGGCTTACTGGCGAATCGACCCTACTATGACAGAAGTTTTCTTGTAAATGTCTTTTTCGTCACTTTAGAATATTGAATATATTATGCAATTAACATGAACATTGTGTAACCGTCTATTTAAAACAAGAAAAGTTCAACAATTTGTTAAAATATGTAGGTACCTAGTAAGGAATTAGTTTTGTAAATTTAATAACATGCAGTGCTGAAAATTATAAAATTACTTGTTTGCTTAAAGATTTGATGGCGCCATATTGGTTAAATCGTAAACATAGTTATTGAATAATACTTTTTAAAACGTAAGTAAAACAAATATGACGCATAGATTTTTTTGATTTGGTTTACCATATCCACATTTATTACAAAGGGTAATTACATAACATTGATTTATTAGGAGAAATAATATTATTTATTAGAGATAATTATTAAACCAACCGTTAATCTCAGTTATTTTAGAATTAAGTATTATTCTACACTGTAAACATTGTGCAAAAATTTAAACAAAATGCATAAAAATTAAATGCTTTTATAGGTAATATAGTTTCCTGAACACCTGCATGGTAACAAGTGTATTTTATTCACTTAAAAATACATATTTGTGAACATACATGTATAAGTTAATGTTAAAGGTTGATCAACTGATATCAGTAAGTAAGTTTAGTTTGTTATCAGTCATATACCTACGATGCACGAAAATATATACAATGTATTATTCAAGACATATTCAGATATATTGAAATTTATCAATCAAGAAGTCCTAGAATTATACTTTTAAATTTGTTAAAATGTTATAAAGGTTTGAATTAAACGAGTTTCGCCGTGATTATCTTGTATTTATTTGAGATATTGAATAACATTTTGAAATGCGAGATATGGCAAATCTAATTATATTTCTACTTTAGAATAAAATTGTGGAGAATGTGCAAGCCAAAATGATGTTAAAAAATGAAAAATTATATATGTATAAAATGGTTGTGGTATGGAAAATTAGTAATAAAATATTTGTTATTATAGAAAGTAAACGTATAATCAGGCTTGATTAGTAGAACGATTGTTATAAGACCCCAATTTACCAGTCAATATGGAAAACAAAGTGAAATAAAGGTCTAGAATTTCAAGTATTTCTGCCAAATCATTCACTGACAGTTTGGCGTGGATTTTTTAATCGTAACATTAAATCTATAGGAAAAAGAATATAGTGAAAGTTACAGGTACAAAAGGCAAGACAGATAAATTTAAATATTATAAAACATAGTACATACCATGCATGGTATTAAAGGTGGTGACAGTAGCAGCAGAAGTGGAACCTAACCTTATTTTGAAAGTGATGGGTGTAATATTTTACGTCAAGGTCATTTACACTGAACCAACTGAGAACCGTTTCTAGCAGCCGTAATAGCATTTACGAAAATGCATTTCCGTACGAAAAATCCACGAACTGAAACTGACCGACACTAAATTCCAATTTGGGTTTCGGAGACCGAGGAATCGCCACAAGTTTAATTTTACCAATCGGTTGGCATATTTTCGTGTTGACACATATCTGTCAACTTCAAATTGGAGAAGGTACGTGCTATTGGCAATTACCGACGAAAACGAAGACGGCAATGCGATCAAATGCCCCCTCAACACGTAACGAGTAACGAACTGCCCTGGCAGGCGCAAAAAGTGTACTATAAAATTCGAAAATAAACCGAAATTTCTCTATAATTACTACCTGAGAAGGGACAGCAGGCCTCGTTCAGAACAAACTCACTCAATTTGGCAAAATAAACCGTCCAACACGACGTAGTTTCGCAAATTTTTAAGCCGAAAGCATGTGCCTATCGGTTTAGGTTGTCCTAGGAGGCACGGGACATAGATTAGCCGCCGCAGATGTTTTCGTCGTCGATTGTCGGTTTTTGGCACGCGAATCGCGACAGCTTCGACGCACCTCGTCAAAACACAAATTAACCTACACAATCAACAGAGAGTTTAGCTTACCGCTTTTAATTACTTTGCAAAACTCAACACAATTTCACACCGAACTGGCAAAATGGCCGTCGCAGGGGCACATGCCACAGAGAACTGGTAAATCGGACAAAAATACGACACGTGGCGCCACCTAGCCTCCTATGACCGAACCGTACAAAGCCCGAGGCGGAAAGTTTAATTGAAATCGCAAAACTCGACGCGTTTCGTATATTTTGCGTTCGAAATGATCGCTCAATCTTACCGTCCAGAGAATGATGACACGGATAATCCGGATGCGGCGTTGACTGGCAATGATCCCAACCGTGAGCACCTAAATTTACATTAGAATCCAGACCACTTCCTTCGATTTCATTTGAGAAGGCACCGCACGTCGATGGGCCGTACAGGGGCGGAGATATGGGCAGACCAGACTGGTTCACCTGAAAAAAAACAAACATTCGTCACGCAAACTAGTTTTTATACGAAAAATACACTTGGCAAAATCAAATCGTGATACGTACGACCAAAAACAAAGTTTTCTGAATGCGAATCAACTTTTCATCAGGTGCGACGTATACTGGCATACTTTACGGACTGTAATTATTATGCCAACGGACATTGGCATGTTTCTATCTAGCCAATCGACACAACAAGGGAAAGTATCAGCTGAACTTCCTGCTTCGGTAGTTTGTTTTTCTTTATTTCAAATTTATCTTGAAACGCATCATATTATAATCGTTAGAGACAGTCGCCAGATCAAAAATTTACAATATTAGTACGAATAAAAGTAAATTCCTTCATTAACGTAAAACATTCAACTGTTTAAAATATATACGACAAAACACGGTACGATAACAAAAGAAAACCTTGGATGATTTATTTAAAATAAAAATTGTAGTATTTACTATGCGTAACGCTATCCTTTCATATATTCAATATTTTTTAACCAATTTTATATATAATTATAGTGCAATTTGCTTTTCAGTTCATAAAATAATTAAACTAAAATGTCGATACAAAAATTTCGATACAAAAATTTCGATATCGATACCCCAGAATTGTCATCCACCCCCGTGATCTACCTAAACACTATCGATCGAGCAGCTAAACGCGCATTTGCCGCCTACACCCCTTATTTAAATCGAATTCAAAACTCATTCTACGAAAATAAACAAAAACAACAATATTTGCCTTTAAACAGTCCCAAATTTACCATTCTTTATAATAAATGGAACATAAATGCAAAAGATATTTCCTTATTTAGTTCATTAACTCTAAATATATTCATTATCATTTAAATATATATTTTTTAAAATCCATATGGGTATTTTTATCTTCAAATATCTAAGATATTAATATAATTAATATTGTTATGGATACTATAGGTATAAAAATATTAACTTAAAAGATCATTATATCGTTAAAAGAGACTGGACTGGTCATTTGTTTAACAAACGCGCTAAAATAGTCTCCTAGATCGCACATAATAAACAAAAATATGGTAAAAAGTTAACCTAGCCTTAGGTAAACATATGGAACTCACCTTCTGGATAATGTAACATCTCGGATTGAAGGCGGTACAAATGTACGTACTCTCGGCGTCCAGACAGGCTGTGAGGGGATCGCTGGGAGCCCTGCCAGGGGGGTTGCGGCTGTGCGGCGTGGGGCCTTTCCTAAAGGGCATCTGGGTTAGCGCGGGGCGATAGGTCTAAAAGCATGCCGACCTGTTGAGCGGACCCGAACAGATCCAGCTGATCGGGCGTCGCGCCGGCGTCAACCTACGCCGCGACGCTCACACAATAAACATTTTTTTCTCTTAACAATTGAGCAAAAACGTTCAAATCTATGCATTCCTTTTCAGACATCATCTTTATTAAAAATACACTCCTTCTTTTAAATATAATGAAATATAACCAATGAAATTATTAAAGTTAAGTAATAACTGTTAAAAAGGCGCTTTTAAATTTGAAATTATAAAAAAGAAACCTGTAACGGTGATTTTTTCCATAGCTAACTTCAAATGGATACCCTTTATATTATGTCTTCTGTGGTATATCCATTGACAACTAACTTGAGCTAACTTCACGTTAGTTTTTATTGTTGAAAAAAAGTTAGGTTATGGTTGATTTGTTAGTTTAAATTTTTATTATTTTTTAAATATCCGTACTATCTCACTGGAAATGGATGAAGCAGGCCCGAGTACTAAGGCAGAGAGTAGTGACGAAGATGATCCTGTAGTAAAAGAGGTAAATTAATGTAACATATCTACATTAACAGCAAAATCTTTTGCCATGTGTACCACCAATTTTACCAAATTTCCTTTTAAAACGTTTTAAATAATATGAATAAGTCTATAAAATTTGGTTTAAATGGTAGCATTTTTGTATTCTTAATTAAAAGCGTATCATTTACTATTAATTCCAATAGATTTTTGAAAAATAAGTAAAAATATGTAGAAAATTAGCATGCTTATCAGTAGGATTTTGTTCCATATATTGATATTACAATTAGATAAGTTATTAAAGGAAACGTATTTTAGATTCCCTTAATTCATTCTACAAAGCTAGAATCAATTTTGCATTTAGTTCAGTTCCCCCTTAAAACCAAATCTTGTCAAAATGAAAACGTAATAAAAAAGTGTCTTTATAAACCAGAAAACAAGGAATTAATGCTAGAAATGTCCATCAATACAGAGTCACCAAACTTTGACTCAGGTATGTAAAATACTGAGCAAAAATTTGCAGGATTAGTTTTGAATTTATTTTGCTCCAGGTCGGGCAGAATTGATCGCTAATGAAATCGACGGAGATGCAAGTTCAAAAAATAACAAAAAGCCGTATTTTGAAAACGAGATAGTTGATAAGGTATTCTTAAAATCGGTGGGATGTACTAAAGATTCTGAAAATTATGCTATTGCAGCTTATAATGGACGAGAAGTACATATAACTTCTATAACAGGTGAAATGAATTAATCTTTATATTTTTTTTATAATATATAGTTCATTTTAGATGTGTATCAGCTTAGGCCTTATTTTCCTTACCTTGACAAAGGTTTAAAGAGAAAAAAGGACATTTTAAATAACGCTGAGTCGGATGAAGAAGAGGCAGGACCTAGTACAGCTAAACAGGTTATTATTTAAGGTAGATAATATTGATTGTATTATTTAATTCTCTTGTCTTATATTATAGGTAACTGTTAAATATAAACAAGCTGAAGATCCTGACCAAAAGAAAGTTCGCGATGCGAACTATCAATTGTTGCAAGCAAAAAGGGAGCAAGAAACATGGACTGAATGTAACTGGTATGATGAAGGCAGCACAGTTAGTGATGTATGTAAAGAACTTTAATTTCAATTGGAACAACTATAATTAATTTGTTTTGTTTTTAACAGGTAGAAAAATTAAAATTGATCTCGGATAACTTATATGATATAGGGCAAGCTCAAAATTTGGGAATAGAAGAATATGTGAAACTGTTGGTGCCCGAAGATCAAGAGCATAAACCGTTGGAGCCAACGCTACCTAGTCATATTTTATCGCTGCATGCTTTGAGAGGGTTGCCTCTTTTAGAACAGTGTAGATTACTACTTAAAGAAGGTACTATTTTCTATGAAATATTTAAAAATAAATAAAAATATTGTTTTTTTAGCTCAAATAATACAATTTCAACAAATCATGCTACTGCTTGCCGGTGTTGAAGGAGTAACAGCGGATGCCTTGTTGAAGAACCTCCAAAAAGTAGCTGTTTTAGTTATAGGTTGCAAAGATTTTCTCTCGTAATTGACTATAAATATTAATTTTTTTTGTTTGTATTTTAGGAAACTGGGTAGTAAAGTCAGAGATTTTGTATCCAGACAATAGTTTTTCTGCTACAAGTGGTGTGCCTGCAGAACTAATGTGTAGAGCTAGAGATTATATTGTAAGTAAACAAAATATATATTTAATACTGTATGATTGAAAAAAAACGGCGTTCAGTTCGCTGGGAAATGACGATCAGTTACATTTCCCATATAAATTTACATATAAAACGACAGCGATTTTCATTTCATAGCCATCGTTGACGCCGTTTTTTTTTATCATACTGTATAATACATTTAGATGCCAGACTTATTTTCTTGCCCTTGCAGAAAAAATATTTGAATATTTTTAAAGAACTCCTCAGTGGTTATTTTAGGGTAAATTACAATTTAGGTAACTTATTGAAATTTTGACTTTATTCTTCATTTTTAAAAAACGTTAAATATGCTCTAAATTACCCTACATATTATCCTCCCAAAATTTCAATTCAATACAAACTGTCGTTCTTCTTGTAGCCTCCGTGTCGTATGAGAGGCGCCACCCTGTATATGAAAAGTCAATACATTTTAATTCATTTTAATAATTATACTGTCAACTAATTCTACTTTATTTTTAGTTATACTTATTTACAAAACATCAATACGTCGAGCGAAAAAAGGTCTCATCTTTACTAAAAATTCCTAGCGAAGAAGTGAAAGAAATATTTGCTGGTATTTCAAAGTTAAGAACGCACAATAAGGTACTTTATCAGATGTGATAATCTTATACCTTCTTATAATATTTTAAAAACATATTTTTAGGGTTGGGAATTGTCACTGCCACCAGATCACGACTTTATAAACCGGCACTCTGATTTAGCCCAAAGGCAGAACCTTTACTGGGAACACAGGTACCACCAACTTAGTCTATTTCTCAATCAACCCAGTAGACAGAGACGGAAAAGTAAAAGTACGTCGGAGAGCGACGGTGGTGGCAAAACGAGATTGAGCAGCGTCAGTTGGTAAGAGAATATTTGGTTATTTTTTCCATTTATGTTTTAAACATTTTGTTATACAGGGTGGCGCACCTCCTTCGCCTGGGTTGATTATACGAAAACGGAAAGATGTAGAAACAAAATATTTTATGGATATATGTGGGGAGTCAATATGTACAATTTAAAATTATTTTGAAATATACAGGGTGTCTCAGAACTAAGATCCATACCAAAGTTATATTTTTTCTTATGGAACACCCGGTATTTTAATTCATTTTTGGATTCTTATGCCCAAAAAAAGACATTTATTATAAGGGTTAAATTTGTTTAAAATGAGAGAATTAAGAAATAAACTTTACTGAAATATGTTATTGCTTCCTTAAATTTATACAGGGGTACCAAAAATTAGGGATCTATTTTAAAGATTTATTTTACATAAAAACTTTGTTATTTCAAATGCAACACCTTGTATTTTTTTAAATAAATCGAAGCACATTCAAATGCTCTTTCAAACTATATTAGGGTTTCCTATACCTATCTAGCTCAGATTTTGAATAAAAAGCGATTTTTCAATAAAATGGCAATCAAGATAGCTGGTGTCGCGATGACAATTTGCTAGTGACAGTTAGTAACTATTTTCAAAATCGACATTAGTTTATAGACTTTATTTAAATCTATACCAGTTTACTTTTATTTAATTGACCTACAATTCTTTAATAAATAATATTTATTAATATGCGATTTTTCAAGAAAAACGAAGAAGTAGTTCTTTGTTTTATTTTACGATAACTTGTAGATATATCAATTTTTTATAAAAGAGCCAATTACGGCAAATTCAATTTCTTCACTTCCAACGACAGGTTTCTGCCTAATAGGTTTTTTATAAACTATACTACCAATTCTAAGAAATAGGAATTAGGGTAAGTAGTTTTTCAAAGGAACGCTTATCAGGAAGATTCGTATTTGGATATCTTTGAGCATTAGCTCTTGCTCTTGAGGCCAAGAAATATTTTTTCTTACAAAATAAAATCACTAGTAACATATCCATTCGTTCCACCAACAGATATGGCTTTATTGTTCTTC